CGTGGTCGTGGTCGTGGTCGTGGTAGGGGTCGTGGACGTGGTCGTGGTCGTGGATGTGGACGTGGTCGTGGTCGTTGATGTGGAGGTGGAGGTGGTCGTTGACGTGGACGTGGTCGTTGACGTGGACTTGAACGTGGTCGTGGACTTGGACGTGGACGTGAACGTGGTCGTGGACGTGGATGTGAACGTGGTCGCGGACGTGGACGTGATCGTGGTCGTGGACGTGGATGTGAACGTGGTCGTGGACGTGGACGTGAACGTGGTCAGAAATGACGGCCAAGACAATGCATTTGATCGTTGACTTTAATTGGACTTTGAACTTGGGGCTATGGACTCAATTGTGTTTGCCACACACTGCATCCTACATAGTCCCTTAAGTTTAGTTGAGTTATCTTCAGCAAGCTAAAGTTATGACCGCAACAATGAATTTGACCTTGGACCTGAATATAACTTTAACCTTGGGGAAATGAACCCAAATAGTGTTTGCGATACTCTGTCCTGCCATCCTACATACATGTATATCCCTTATATTGCATTGAGATATCTTCAGTGAGTAAGAAGTTATGGCCTGGACAATGATTTTGACCTAAGACCTCAATGTAACCTTAACCTTTACTGTATAGACTCAATTGTGGTTTGCAACAGACCATCTTGTAATCCTGCATTTACTCCTTTAATTTCATTGAGTTACCCTTAGTCAAAACGTTTGGCCCAGACAGTGAATTTGACCTTTGAAATCAATGCGACAATGACTTTAGATGTACTGACCCTAGAGTAGTATGCGACACATACGCCTTATGCGCCTTATCATCCTAAATTTATTCCTTAAATTTTATCAAGATATCTTCAGAGGTTCAAGAGTTATAGATCAGATTATGAATTTGACCTATGACCTAAATGTGACCGTGACTTCGGCTGTATTGAACCTAGAGTTGGAACCCTATTCACCGCTCAACCATCCTACATATGTTCCTTTAATTTTATTTCGATATCTTCAATGGTCAAAATGTATGACTCTGACAATAAATCTGACCTTTGACCTCAATGTGACCTTTACCTAGGATGGAATGACAAACAGATGGATAGCTGCTATGCATATGCATTTGCAGCAATGTACTCCCCAATATTTGTTCATGGAACATAAAGAAACAAGAGTCTTGTATTGTTCAACTTGATATTTAAAAAATTAAGGCAACGTTTTGTCAATCAAAGTAATATTGCTAATGTATCCCCAATTTGTTCTCATTCTTTCTGGCATTAAGGATGTTACAAAGCAAATCTGGTTGTAATTAGTATATATATGTGTATATGATTATAGAGTTGCCTTTGGTATTTCAGCCATTTCCATCAGCATGTTATGAACCTTGGATTAAGTCATGAACATGAGTACACCTGTATCCATCTGTCCATACACTGCAATTGCATATATGGTTATTAGGTACGGATCTCAACTCTTTCCATGTTATGATCAAGGGAGGGAGTCCTTTGTGAGGGGTTCGGAGAGCCAGACCCTGGCCCAATATAGAAAGTATGATTGAGTTTGTCTCTTATGTATGTATGGGTATAGGGCAGGAATCTTGACCAGTTTCATGTTCTACCTTAGGAAATCTGGAAAATGCTTAAATTTAATAAAAATCTTTTATCCATTCCAAATTTTTGTTCAGTCAGTGCACCGTTTAAAAGTAATACAAAGTCAGAGAAGATAACCAAGTATCTTTCTAAGGAAAAAAATGACAATTTGCAGTTTTTGTTAGAAGATATCCTGTATCAGAAAATTTTAATCCTGAGGGAATTTGTCTATTTTACACCTTAGTAATAGGGAAATTGTGAAAATTAAGAAAAATCAACATTTATCAAACACACATTTAACAGAGGTCTTTATTTGTTCAATGGCTCCGCTAGAAGTCGAGCCCGGGACCTCTGACTTACTAGTCTTACGCTCTACCGAATAAGCTAAAGAGAAATTCTCCCTAGCCGAGACGGTAGGAAGCAGCTATTAGTTTACCTGGGTGACACACATTTTTTTTTCTTCAATAAGTGCAAATTTGAAGTATTGCACTGTTTCAAAATGATACAAAGTCAGAGAAGATATATCCAAGTTACATTCTGAGGAAAAAAATGACAACTTGCAGTTTTTGTAAAATGTGATATTTTTCAGTATTAGTTTGTTAATTGCGACTTGAAATACTTGATAAAAATAAAAATTGTGAGATTTCACCTTGTTTTAGACTAAATATTTGTCCTTTAAACTGGAATTAGTGTTAAGTTTGAAGATATATCAGAAAAAATATTCTGGGAGAATTTGACTATTTTCCACATGAGGAAATGTGGGGAAAATGTCGATTTGAGAAACATCAATATTTTTTTCCAATTACAGCAGATTTATAGTATGACTGTGTTTTTTTTAGTTATACAAGATAATTCAAAATGAAATATCTTAGGAGAATTTGAAAATTTGAGTATTTTATAAAATCAGATTTTTTTTTATATTGCCACAGTTTTTACCTGTTAAAACTTGAAATCCTGACATTTCAACAGATTTCAAACTAAATATTTGGCTGTTATGTAGAATTAGTGTTAAATTTGAAGATACATTAAATTTTTCGTTCCTGGGAGAATTTGAATATTTTCCACCATAGAAATTGTGGTGGAAATGTTGAAATTTAAGGAAAGTCAATATTTCAAAATAGACTTTTTCTCAAAAATAACATATTTGTAGTGTCCCTTTGCTTTGTTGTTATAGGAAGTCATAAATGATGATTGAAAAGGAAGTTCCTGGGGAGATTTTTGGAAATTTGATTTTTTTTTACAATTTCAGGTTTTGTGAGGTATTATATTATTACCTCCTGCCATACTTTTTTTTTTTTTTTTGTAATTTGTTTTTTATTTTCAATTTTATGTGCAACATACATCTTCATCAAATTAGCAGATATCATAATCATCATTCATCAAGGATCATCCATCATAAACAATAGCCTCATTACCAACACATCTCCCAGACGTGAATCGTCATCATCATCATCACCATCATCATCAAAGTAATATCACAGTAATATCATTCAATATACTTCCTTTCATTTTCGATTCTTCATAATGTCATTGTATCTTCATAATCATACAGAGAAAAAAATACAAATCAACACTGGTCATTACCATAAATACTCGCATCATGTACATGTGATCATCATCCTCACTGTTATAATCAAGAAAACAAGAACAAAAAAATATACAAGGCATGATTTCATCACATCCTAATCAGCATCATTCATTACCGCATGCCATCCATACTCTATATCTCATCATTCCTACACATCATATTTTGATCACCTTTCACATGTCACATGACGCTCACATCCTGACATCATACACATAAAGTTGAGGGAGCAGTAACAAAACATATAAACAATAAATTGTCTATTGTATGCCTGTAGTGATAAGTAAGGTCAGATTTACATGTCTATTGTATACCTGTAGTGATAAGTAAGGTCAGATTTACATGTCTATTGTATACCTGCAGTGATAAGTAAAGTCAGATTTACATGAATGCATATTTCACTTTATTGATTGGACAGACAAGAGAAAGTAGGAAGAATTAAGTCGAAAGAAAAGGAAAGAAAAAAAGAGAAGAAAAAAATATAGAAACAAAGTGGAAGAAAAGGTTGGGAGGTAGACAAGACATAATATTTTCAGCTCCTGCCATACTGGATACAATTTGAAATCCTGACATTTTAACTAATTTCAGACTAAATATTTGGCCACTAAGTAATATATTTGATAAATTGGACGATACGTCAGAATGTTTTGTTCCTTGGGGAATTTGACTACTTTCCATCCAAGAAAATACAGGAAATGCTAAAATTTCAGAAAAATCATTATTATTCCAAAAAACACTTTTTTCAATAAAATGAAGATTACCAGTATTGCACTTCTTAATTGACATACAAAGTCATGTTTTTTGGTAAATTTATAGGATTTCTTTTGGTATGTTGTCATTTGTTTAACTTGATAAAACTTGAAATTGTGACATTTCAGACTAAATATTAGGCTGTTAATTAGGATTATTTTGAAATTTGAAGATATATCTGAATGATTTGTTTCTAGTTATCAAATGGTTGTAAGATTAGACATAACGAGTTATTAAAAGTCACGAAAGTAATTTTCTGCGGAGTATTTGGAAGAATTATTTAAAAGTCTGAGTTTTTTGCATCTGATGCAAAACCTTATATTCTTATATAACTTGAAATAATTACAATCTAGCTGATTTCAGACTGAATATTTATTTCTGATTTCAGACTGAATATTTATCTGTTAAGTAAAAAGTAATGTTTGGTATGTAGATGTATCAAAATATTTTATTCCTGGAAGAATTTGACTCTTTTCAATTTTTGAATTTGGAGAAAATACCGTAATTTTCGCAAATCAATATTTTTTGAAAAGATTTATAGTTTTATTGTCATTCAAAAAATTATAGAAGATAACCAAACTAACTTTCTGAAAAGATTCTTTTTTTTTTGTAAAACTGGTGTGTGTATGGTTTCTTTTTATGTATTAGCTGGTATATTGTCACTTGCCATACTTGATAAAATCACTATATTTCATTTAGTTACAGACAAATGTATGGTAAGTTAACATTTGCAGATATATCTGAATATTTTGCATGAAGGAATTTGACATTTTTCACCTTAGAAAATTGGGGAAAATGTTTAATTGTTTAAGAAAAATCGATATTTTTCCTAAATACTTTTTCTTTCTATAAAACACTGAATATTTACAGTATTCGCTTTTAATGATTCAAAGTTAATCATTTTAATTTTATATATTGTAGTATATTATTACGGATTTAAGTCCTGATATTATGTATATCTATATGTCACTCATGCAAGGATCAGTAAGCCTACCATATCTTGTTCACCGGGAAAAAATGTAAAAAACCTAACCACTTGCCAACAAAACATGCTCATCGTTTACCTTCATGAAGCTTTCAACATTTTGCTGTAACGTTGCTTCTTATAAAAGCAAACAAATGCACAACGATATCTCGGAAAAGTCGACTATAACAACAACATTGAGTTACGTCAACGTAGTTTTCCATGTGATGTTTACTTTACGATACTACGAATTTCAAAACAAATACTGAAATATATCAATTTTACAAATGATTTTTCAGCTTATATTTCAATAATATAATGACAACCCGACAATACAATAGAAATGCCGTTTTCAAACATTCCGATAGTCTACCATGCATCCTCGGCCTTTCGGAACACCTAGTAACAACGAATTATAATTTGTAATAATATG